CTGTGAACATTCTAAACTAACACGAGTCTCATTAAGTGTCCAGTTTAAGGGTATTACACAGAAACATACCAAGGGAACATGAATCAAATATGCACTTTTATTCATTTACAATAAATTCATAAAGTACATCATTCTGATTGAAGCTAAGGGCATACAAAACTGTCTAACAGTTAGGGCGTAAAGAGGGCTAAACCATAATCTGTTTGATTGCGTTTGAATCTAAGGTTGTGTTTGGTTGTAATGCAAATTTATTTGCACTGATGTAAAACTGTGGTAGTGTAAATTTTAATTTATTTTTGTTTCAAAACTTATCATACTTTGTTTGGTTGCAGTACAAATGAAATAAAATAAGACCCAAAGTAGAATAAAGTAAAATCTAAAACAAAATTAAACTAAAATTTGCATTTTTTTCATTTGTACTCTCATACATTTGTACTAGTACAGATAAAATTGCACTGCAACCAAACACAGCCTAAACCACATACAAATTTTACACCTGATTCAGTTTTGCATCTATTAAATTCTAACTATGATTTGCAGTACTGATGACTGGAATAAAATTTGTATCTATTGTCTCATTTGCACTAATAGTACAAATTTTGTACCTCTAAAACTGATATATATAAAATATGCACCACCTTTCTCATACCTCAACTTTCTTTCATATAAAATGGGGACTACATCACCTTTCTTCCTACCTCATTCCCAAACAAATAATCTTTCTCCTACTACATTCTCTTGTACATAAGGTAACACCACATCATTTTGCTTCTTATTTTACTTTTTACAAACAAACAAAACAAGATCAAATCTAAACAGAAGCTAAATCAGAATTTATACTCAGCCTATTGGCATCTCTTGCATTTACGCCATGCATACACAGCCTTTACTGCTTTACAAATAATATTGTTCGAACCTATTATTCTACAGTTTGGTCACTTTACCTTGTTTGATCAAAGTAAGTCAAACATGAGTAGAATTTACTTCTTGAATAATTGCATTATTTCAAAATCTTTTTTGATTTATCACTACCATAATTATCTGGTCCCACATCCTCAACACTATTGAAAAAGTAATGGCAGTCCAAATTCGCTGGTGTTGCATAGCATAAAGTGTAGGTGTCCCATGGAGGCCCCATCTATACTAAACATTGGCGTGATTACTCGTAGGTAATAGAACCGCATGTTCATGATTATTTTTTTCAGTTCATCTAGTTCTAACAACGTGGGTATAAAAGATTTGACACAATTAAACCAAAACTTAGTTTACTGTTTGTCATTGTGACAAGGTGGGGGTATTTGACACAATTTAAGGGGGATAAGGGAGTGATAAGTGGGATTTTGTAAAATAAAATAAAAAAAAAATAAAAATTTGTGAAGTGGGGTAGACTATAATTTTCACTTTTTTTAGAAAAAGTGAAATGCCATTAAAAGAAAAAGGAAACAAAAGACACTAGTTTTGGCTTTTTTTATTGTCTATTCACATAAACTAAGGAAATGCCATTGAAAGAAAAAGAAACAAGATGCCATATGTGATCAAAAAGCAGCTGGGACTTAGCTCAGATTAGAATGAACTTAGATTCCCTTTCGGGAGACGGTTCCCCTATTTATAGGGCTATCAATGGGTCGGGTTCAATCCAATAGACCCGATAGACACAAATCTATTAGGTCAGTTTTCGGTTTCAGGAACTGGAACCGATGGATTGATTCTGGTTCTTGATATATATTGTTCCAATTATTATTGATTCGGAACTGGTTCTATCTAGTTCCAAACCAATTCAAACCTGACCGGCTGACCCTATATATATAATATTTTCAATAGGTTAATTATAACTGGATCCATCGGATCAAACTCAATTATCCCAAAAATTGATCAGTTCGGTTTTGAGTCTGAAATTAGACCCTATCGGGCTTGATTCAATACCGGGTCCTTAATATTTCTTGTCGAGCTGGTTCCGATTCTACTTGGACCACTTAGTTACAAGAAGTCGTGGTTTCCCTGGGACACTGGTCATGCATTTGACATTCTTAAAGTAGCTCTTATCACGTTTTTGGTCTACCATCGATCGTGATATTTGATCGGCAGGAATCGATCCTCCTTAAGAGGTGAGACTATTTTGGTTTTGGGTGCCTCGCTAGGCTAAATTGGCATGGCCTCGCAAGTCCAAAGTAATTCAGATTCATGAGATGGAATTAGTATAGCCTTGCAAGGAAAAATCAGTTCAGCCTCACATGGTTGGAATAGTATGGCTTCTCAAATCGAGGTTGATGTAGGGTGGCCCAGCCCAGCCCAGAATGGGCTGGAAGGCCCAGCCCATGAACGCCAGAATCAGGAATGCGACTAGCCACAGCAGGAGCTACCCTGTACCCCTCGTGCGGAGCCAATCGTGGGGCACCCATGCGTCCCTGCAGAGCTCTTTGACTGCCCTCGTACGGCTCCCATCTCAGGTGTTCATCTTCACCAACCTCCAAGCGGCTCAAGTATATATAGGGGGTAGCCCCCCCTCCAGGTAAAAGGGGACCTGATTCTGATTCTGAAATCTAACCCTACCACAGAACTTGAGTGTCCTCACTTTGGGAGTCCAGTACCTATGCATAGCATCTTTGGAGACTTCGTTTGTACTCGATTCCCCTCTTCGCACCCCTGTACTGACTTGACTGTCAGAGCCTCTGCCTCGAGTCCTAACCCGAGGCCTCTGACATCCTCTGTCTTGCAGCACTCCAGTTATTAGTCCTCGGCTTTTGTGGGATTCGATGCACTTCGGCCTCAGCCCCCAGCCTTCATTCTCGGTACCTCATCCTCGAGTACTTCAAAGCCTTCACCCTACCCTCTGAGCTCTGGGGAAAAAATTACTTTGTTGTCCTCGGCCAACCCGAGCATCAACAATTGGCACTGTCTGTGGGAATGTTGCTAAGATGACTCCCTAAAAAAAAAAGAAAGAAGATGCAACAAATTAATAACTCCCTAAGCTCCAGCCACCATGGTGCGAAGAGCCAGGAACACCCAAAACCTTGTCACTAGCAAGCAATTCTAGGCCGTGCTCAACCGCTTGGGGTATTTAACCCAACAATTCCAGGCTGGCCCTTCCGAGGAGTCAACACAACTAGGACGACATGGGTCCACCAACTAACCAGCTTTCGGCCCCGGCCACGTGCCATAGGCCGACCCCTCTGAGTCTAGCAATAGCCGCCCAGCCAGCCTGCTCAGGGACTCCCTACCCCTCAGCCGAAGGGGGGAGGAACCAGTGCAATCTGAGGATAGCCGCCAACCCTTCGAGCAACATCACAAACACTGAAGGGAGAACTCGAGGGATGAAGGTAGGCGTCGTAGTCACCCCAATGCCCATTCTAGGGCCGAGGGCCGACGTCGAGCCTCTTCCCCTCATGTCTCGGACCTCCGAGACATCTTGAATGACCGCTGCGCCAAGCGCGACGCGCGCGGTCTCACTTCGGAACACTCCAAGTTCTGCACCGGCCCTCACCGTATCCGTGAAGACCGAGATGGTGAGCGCGGCTTGCCCGACCCTCAATTCACTGAACTCCGAGCAGAGCTCGGTGCTGTTAAAGCCGATATCCGACAAGTCAAGGAAGGCTGAACTGACACCTTAGCCGGGCAGAGCAACTCTCTAGGGAGAATGGATGCCTTCTCCCCCGACATCATCGTTGAGCCATTACCCCCAAATTTCAAAGCTCCCACCTTGGAGATGTACGATGGAAACACAGACCCGAATGATCACCTGGAGAGTTTCAGGGCACTCATGATCCTATATGGATACTCTGACGCCTTGACATGCTAGACCTTCCAAGCAACGTTCAAGGGAGCCGCCCGATGGTGGTTCTCTAGCCTCCCACCTCGGTCCATTAATTTGTGGGAACAGTTCTCCAACCTATTCCTCGCCCACTAAATCAGCAGTCGACAACCCCAGAAGAGTGTCGTCTCGCTAACGACAATTAAGCAAAAGAGAGGAAACAACCTACGGTCATACATTGACCGCTTCAAGAAGGAAGAGCTCGAGGTCTGCGACTTCGACCCCTTGGTCTCCATGCACGCCGCCATCAGTAGACTCCTCCCTATCTCAACCCTCAAGTGCTCAATCGCCAAAAGCTAGCCGAAGACGAAACTGGAGTTCCTTGAGAGGGCCCAGAAGTACATCACAGTCGAAGAGGCCTCGGTTGGTGATGTCCAAGAAAGGGGCGTCGAGCACTAGGATGGGGCTCCAGAGAAGAGGAGAAAGAATGGGGACCACGACCGCAACAACAACAACAACAACAACAATAACAATAACAGGAAGCCACCGACCTCAGCCTTAGGTTACAACTAGTACACGCCACTCAATTCCACCCGCATGCAGATTCTAATGCAGATTGGGGAGGAAAAATTCATGAAGTGGCTTGAAAAGTTGAAGAAGAATCCCTGAAAGGAAATCCAAAAAAGTACTGCAAATTCCATCGAGGCACTGGTCACGACACTGAGGATTTCTATGACCTCAAGAACGAAATAGAGTCCCTCATACGCCGAGGCCACCTCAAGCTGTACATTGGAGGCGAGGCTAGTGCCTCGTCCTCACAACAACAGCAATAGCATCAGCATCAACAAGTAGCCGGCGTCATCGATGTCATAACCAGAGGCACGACGTCGGCTCATAAGGCCTACGCTAGGTAGTTGAATGTTCAGGGGCCGGCCCCCAAGAAGCCGAAGCAACAAGAGCCCCTCTCCTTTATGGATGAGGATTTGAAGGAGGTAGCAGTCCCCCACGATGATGCTTTGGTGATTTCAGCCGTTATAGCGAATTTCGTAGTCAAGAGGATCCTCGTTGACAGTGGCTCCTCGACTGACATCCTCTTCTACGAAGCATTCGAGAAAATGAAGATAGTGTCAGAACGCCTTTAGCCAACAGATGTTCCACTAGTTGGCTTCTCCGGCAACACTGTCAAACTAGAGGGCAGGATCACCCTACCAATCACCATAGGGACAGAGCCCCAGCAGGTGACGAGGATGATGGAGTTCCTGGTCGTAAGGATAAGCTCACCCTACAATGCAATTATGGGGAGGCCGACCCTTCACGCACTCTAGGCAGTGATCTCCTTCTATCACCTTGCCCTGAAATTCCCCACTGAGTGCGGCGTTGGAGTTGTTCGGGGGGACTAGCATGGCGCCCGCTAGTTCTATGTGGCAGCATTGAAGGGCAAGAACAATGAAAGCTTGCCACTGGAGGGCCTCGACCCCAAGGAGGAACTGGCGAGTCGAAGCCAACCGGCCGAGCACCTTGTCTCGGTCCCCCTAGACGAGGATGAGCCCGAGAAAGTAGTCTGTGTCGGGTCCAACCTTCCCTCAGAAAGCCTATTCGAACTGGTAAGTTTCCTCAAACTTAATGCCGACGTCTTTGCTTGGTCCGCCGCTGACATGCCCAGAATTGACCCTTCAGTCCTTACTCACAGGCTGAGCGTGGACCCGAGCTCTAGGCCAGTCCAGCAGAAGAAGATGAACTTTGCACCTGAACGATGCAAGGCCATAGAGAAAGAAGTTGAGAAGCTACTTGATGCCAGTTTCATCCGAGAGGTACACTACCCTAACTGGTTGTCAAATGTGGTTATGGTAAGAAAGCTAACGGGAAATGGCGGATTTGTATTGATTTAACAGACATCAACCGAACCTTCCCCAATGACAGTTTCCCTCTACCAAGAATAGACCACCTCATTAACGCCACTGCAGGGTATGAGCTATTCAGCTTCATGGATGCCTTCTCCGGATATAATCAAATAAAGATGCATCCGGATGATGAAGAGAAGACTTCGTTCATCACTGAACGCGGTACATATTGCTACCGAGTGATGCCATTCGACCTAAAAAATGCCAGAAAAACCTACCAACGCCTTATCAACAAGGTGTTCAAAGAACAGATGGGGAGGAATGTCGAATCCTATGTGGATGATATAGTAATAAAAAGCCTGGAAGCCAGGACCTATATCTTGAACCTAGCTGAGACCTTCAACACTTTGCAGAAGTACAACATGAAGCTCAGCCTATGCAACATTGTATGATATATGCATTTGTGTACATAATATATTTATAACAAAATGTATGTATGTTACATATTCATATCATCATATACACCCTAAACTATATTTACTTATTTGCAAAGGGATGTAATGTAAGATAAGATAGCAAGGGATGTAATGTAGATGTTGCTTTGTTGTGAGTTGTTGCAGAGTGCCCAGGAGCATGTACTTACAGGTGCTCACAGACAGCTTACAAGAAGCCGTGTATGTTCTTCTGCCAAAAGTGTTGCTTCAAGTGTAGATGTGTTCCCCCTGGCACTTATGGTCATAAAGAAGTTTGTCCCTGCTATAACAACTGGAAGACCAAGAGAGGAGGTCCTAAATGCCCCTGAATTTTATAAGAGCTTTTGTTCCAACAAGAATTGATATTCTCGTGGAGCCAAAAACAAATTGTCTACATAGCTTTCATGTTCTTCATTAGCATTTTAAAAATGAATGTATGGAAGTGACAATTTGAAACAAACAGAGTTCTTCATTAACTGCACTATCTAGAAAATTAAGGTTGTATTCGGTTTGATAGAAAATAAGAACTTTACCTCAACTTTCTACTTCTCTATTATTTTCTATCAAAACCAAACATAGCCCAAGGGGAAGCATGTGGCATATAATGAAACAAACAACTAATCACCTCCCACTAAATTTCTGGTATTTAACCCTATTAGGGACTATTTTGGGTTTGGGTCCCGCAAACTAGTTTTGGGTTGTCTTCCAAAGTGGTGTTTATCATTTTGCTGATGTGATAGTTATTTTTAAAAACAAAACATACTCATTGCTGAACATCCCCATAGTCGATGAAGAAACAAATTTTCATGATTCCATCTTATCACTGTCCAAGATTGGACTAAGGACTAAACCTGTCAATAGTACCAGAAAATTTCTGCGGCCAAAACTGATTATTTCAGATTTGGGTGGACTATATAAATCACATTGGATGGGATAAAAAGCATCTAATTATAAATTGTATCAAATTCGTATGTATTAAGGGTGAGCAAATGGGTAGGTTCTACCTAGAATTAAATGGAACTGACCTCAATGCTCTTGAACTGACCCTACCCAATCTATTTTAAGGTAGGGTTTGGCTCCAAATACTTGGAACTGACCCCCACCCAAGTCGGTTCTAGGGCCTAGGGTTTAGGCTACACAAACTGACCCAGTGAACTGGCCTTGGTTGGCCTTGGGGGAACCTGCCTTAGAACCAAACTTGTCTTGAAATAAACCCTACAATACTTTTGGGGATGTGAAGATTTGAACCCAAGCACTCAAGGTTACAAAGGCCATGGTCACACTTGACCATTGAGTTACTTAAGTGATTTGATCTTTTCCTTTCATTTTAATATTTGAATGTGTACAAAATATAATGTAAAAGATAATATTAAATTACTAAATTAAATAAATAAAGCTAATATAAGTTTTAAACTATATATTATATTTATAGAAAATCAAGTTTTTAAAGAGCATGCTTCTTTTTTTAAAGGAGATAGTAAAGAAAGAACAAGCTCCACAAGTAAACCCTAGAACCGACCCCAGAACCAAGATTAGAACCAACCATCATAGGGTAGGTTCCAAGTTTTGCTATGGAGCCGAACCGAACCAACCATAATCACCCCTAATATGTACCCGATTCAATAAAAGATCTAACTTTTACATATTATAATTTATATATAATATTGAAAATCTCCTATGTGATTTTCAAAAGATCTCACAATAATTGTAAGGATAAATGAGTCCTACAAAAAAAACAATGATAAATGAGGAAATCCCCTTTCCCTTCCATTAGGCAGCATTATCTTATAGATTCAAAATGTTCCAAACCCTAATTCTATTTCTTGAGTCTTTTTTGAAGTCCTAACACATGCCGTTGTAAAACAATTGTTTCCAAGTGACCACAATGAATGGTGAACAGACTCTAATAGATTAATATACTATTCAATTTGCCTTGAATAATGCGATTCAACTTTTCTTTTGTTATGGACTGAATAGAGTTGTGAACCATGATGCCTTGCCATGCCACTTTTGAAGGGATGAGAGATCTATCATATGGATGACCGAACCCCGTAGGAAGGTTAGGCAAATTTTCAAAAATTTCTCTTTCCCATCTGAGAATCGCATTCCCTATTTTAGAAAACTTTATTTTCAATGATCATTCTTGAAACAAAACCGAACCAGATCTGAAACCAAAGGAAGGGAGAAGGAAATACCTGATATGGAATTAAAAGGAATTCCCAACGTAGGTGTTCACGCCCAAAGAGGATACCAAATCCGCCTCCACTAAAGATGACACAGCGAATGTTGAGGCAGGATCAGCAGGAACGGTTCTTCAGCAAGAACCTGGGATTCTTCAGCAAGAACCCGAAAAAAGAAGACCTCTCCCTCGGCTGCAAGGTACATTGATGCACTCTCTACTCACATGGATCCCGGGAATTAAAACCTTTTGCAAACATTTTGAAACCATAATATACAAGTATATCTTTATATAAATATATTTTGCAAAACCAAATTTCAAACACATTTGAAATCCACTGCCAACAGTTTAGGTTTCCATCAGAGAGAGTGCATTTGCCCGATCATTCACTTTGTCCAACAAAGGGACTAATCTTGTCACTATGATCACCCAATCAGATGAATTCTTTGACTGCCCCAACATACATAGGTTTTGACCCGGTAAAGGATCTCACTGATTGGCATATCAAAGACAGCCCAATCCGACACCTAGTGCAGTACCATAATCGAGTCTAGGGGTCAAGTATAATATTCCATTTTTTTCCATCTATCTCTAAGCTCCAGGGCAATACTGAAATTTGGTCTGGTTCAGGGTTTCAAGAAAACCCACATTGCATGTACCTCAGGTCTCACCCTGGCAGCTGAGACAAGCCACCCCAACCAACTTGGCGGCACATCAGGGTCAGCCTTGGTAGGATAAATCTCCCAAATCTATCCAATGGCTGTGAAGATTCTAAACTAACACGAGTCTCATAAGTGTCCAGTTTAAGGGTATTACATAGAAACATACCATAATGACATGAATCAATTATGCACTTTATTCATTTATAATAAATGACAATAAGTACATCAATCTAATTGGAGCTAAGGGCATACACTGTTTAACAACTCCCACTTGTACTTAGATCCAATCGGGTACAAGTTGGAGTCCCATAATTTTCACGTGTTTCTCAATCACTTTCTGTGTCAATGGCTTAGTCAATGGGTCAGCTACATTTTTTGTTGATGCTACCTTCTAAATCAGGACGTCCCCTTTACCAACTATCTCTCGTAGTACATGGTACTTCCTCTCGATGTGCTTTGACTTCGAGTGGGCTCGTGGCTCCATTGCCTGAGCAATGGCTCCAGTGTTGTCACACAACAGTGGAATGGGTGATGTGCTGGATGGAACTACTCATAATTCCTGAATGAACTTCTTCATCCAAATGGCTTCCTTGGCAGCTTCACTTGCGGCAATGTACTCGGCTTCGGTTGTGGAATCTATAGTGGACCCCTGTTTGTTGCTCTTTCAGCTAACTGCACAGGATCCCATCATAAAGATGTAACCAGATGTAGACTTTCTATCATCTGGGTCTGACTGGAAATCAGCATCGATATACCCCTGGATTTGTAGTGAACTATCATCGAATAATAGACAAAACTCTTTTGTCCTTCAAAGGTATTTTAGTATGTGTTACACAGTTGTCCAATGCTCTTGACTTGGGTTAGATTGAAACCTAATTACCACACTCACTGCTTGAGCAATGTTGGGTCGAGTGCACAGCATGGCATACATGATGCTCCCTACAGCTGAAGCATAGGGAGTCTCTCTCATGCCCTTGGAGAGAGTGACTCTGTACCTAATATTTCCTTTCTTGGAGTTCTCCATACTGTATCTTTTGACTATCTTGTCAATGCAAGTAGATTGGGATAATTCTATTATTCTCTTCGATCTATCTCTATAGAGTCGAAGACCCAAACTGTAGGAGGCTTTTCCATGATCTTTCATGGAGAATTGCTGTGAAAGCCACACTTTCACCATAGTTAACATCCTTACATCATTCCCAATGAGTAGAATGTCATCTACATATAGAACCAAGAACGTAACCTTATCTCCCACTGTCTTCTTGTAAACACAGGGCTCATCTGAATTTTTCTAAAAGTCAAACTATTTGATGGTAGAGTCAAACCAGATGTTCCAGCTCCTAGAAGCTTGCTTAAGTCCATATATTGATCAATTAAGTTTACATACCATGTATTCCTGTCCTATAGCAATGAATCCTTGCGATTGCTGCATATAGATATCTTCAGTAAGATCTCCATTCAGGAATGTGGTTTTGACATCCATTTGCCAAATCTCATAGTCATGGTATGCTGCTACAGCTAGTAGGATCCTGATGGATTTAAGCATGGCCACTAGCGAAAAGGTTTCCTCATAGTCGATTCCCTCTTTCTGAATATACCCTTTTGCCACAAGACGAGCCTTATAGGTCTCAACCTTACCATCGGGGACATTCTTTCTCTTATAGATCCATTTGCATCCAATTGCTTTTACCCCAGGGGGCGGATCTACTAGAGTCCATACTCCATTGGTCTCCATTGAGTCCATCTCAACTCTCATGACATCTACCCACTTCAAGGAATCTATGTCCAACATAGCTTCCCCATAAGTCACAGGATCCTCCTCACTAGTCGTGGCTTCCACCAAGTAACTTTCTTGGTCGTAGCCGTAATGAACTAGAGGTCTGGAAACCCGAGTAGATCTTCTAGGTTGGCTATTTTCTGGAACAGGTGGGACATCTCCCACTACCCCTGGGCTCTCCTCATCAAGAACAACTTCCTGATGAAGATTATCCAGGATGTAGTCTTCCTCTAGGAAGTAGGCATTTTGACTGCAAAACACTTTTTGCTCTTTTGGATCATAGAACAAGTAACCTACAAAGCCTTACGGGTAACCTACAAATAGGCAACAACTGGTCTTGGATTCCAATTTGTCAGCACTAGTTCTTTTAACATGTTCTGGATAACCCCAAATCTTCAAGTGTCTCACACTTGGTTTCTTACCGGTCCATAGCTCATATGGAGTCTTAGGAATGGATTTGGTTGGAACCCGGTTCAGCACATAAATCGTAGTCTCTAATGCGAAACCCCAAAAGAATGTAGGTAACTCGGAGTGGATGAGAAGTGAACGGACCATATCTAATAGAGTCCGATTTCTCCTCTCTAACACACCGTTCAATTACGGTGTAGTAGGAGGAGCCAATTGTGATACAATCCCATTTTCCTTTAAATAGTCCCTGAATTCGTCAGAGAGATACTCGTCGCCTCGATCTGATCGAAGGGTCTTAATTTCTGTTCGTAAATGTTTCTCGACTTCTTGTCTAAACTCTTTGAACTTTTCAAAGGATTCAAACTTATGTCTCATTAGGTACACGTAACCATACCGAGAATAATCATTGGTAAAGGTTATGAAATAAACGTATTGGTTACATGTCCTAACATTCAGGGGGCCATATACATCAGTATGTATTAGGTCAA